TGGGACAGGATGCCTTGGAGCACAGCCGCCGGGAGCATGAGGCAGCTCTGGAGAAGCTCAGGGAGGAACATTCGCAAGCGCTTGCCCAGCTGCAGGAGATGCAAGCGACGGAACTGGAGACTGTTCGCGCCGCACATGACTTGCTTTCTGAACAGGTCCGAGAACTTGGTTGTCAAATTTCTCAGGCGGAGACGGAGAAGCAAGAGCTGCTCAACACTCACGAAGAAGATTTGCAAACCAAGCAGTCTGTTATCACGAAGTTGTATTCCGAGCTATCAGTGCTTCGTAACGAAGCCGATGCGGCCAAATCTCGAGTAGAGAAGCTCGAGGGTGACATGAGACGTGCTGCTGAAGAACAAGGGCGTCTCGTCAAGGAGGCAGGGAAGCGAGATTCACTTGTGCAAGAGCTGGAGCGTCATCGTGCGGCGCTTGCCGAAACGCACGAGCTGTTGAACCGTGCGAAGGACGAAAAGGACCTGTTGGTTGCTGAAATGAACAAGCGCGATAGCGTTGTGAAGGATCTACACGACCAACTAGCCCAGGTAACGACTCCGAAGGTTACTCAGATGGAACTGACACCGAATGGATCTATTGTCCATCCTCTTCACTCTTTATCCCTCCCACTTGGCCGTCTCAACAGCTTGACTAAAAAATTGCCGCCCGCTTCGCCTCCGCCTACTATACCACCACCTCCCGTTCCCGTGGAGGTGGATTCTGAGAAGTCGATGGCGCCTCGCATGTCTTACGAGTCGGAGGAGTTCTCGGAGGCGCCGTCTGACCAGTTATTTTCGGGCACACCTTCTGTGAAAGACACCCTGGCAAGCAATGCAACGAATGGCAGTGCTCTGCAGCAGCAATACGAAGACATGGCCCATCTTTACGCGGAATCGCAGCTCATGATTAAGACTCTAGAGAAGCAGCTTGAGCATTGCGAAGCTGACTTACAAGCTAATCAGCAATTGGTCGCCACTCTAGAGAATGAACTGCACGACGCCGAAAGACATTGTACGTGATCCACAGTGATCTGAATCATGCTTACCCCTTGTGCAGTGCGAAAATCGCGGGTGCAATCCAGCGACCTTGCAAAGGAGCGCGACGCTCTGAATGCTCAGATGCAAGCATTGCAGACGCAATTGCGGGATGCACAGGATGATTCCACCCGCCTCCGCCGCTCTATGCAGGAAGAGAAGCAAGCCTCGGAGCGGAAGCTGGAGGAGGAGCGCAAAGCGCGCGAACGTGCCCGTGCATTACTTGATCAGCGTATGGAAGACATGCAGAAACGCAAATCCAAGTTCGTCTGCATGTAAAATGCAGGATATTTCTCGCTCCTTTCTATTGGGTGGGGAATGGTATTCTATGATGGCGTTTCACGATCTCCTTTTCTCTTTTCTTGTCTGAATTGTTACTGGTGGAAGGAAACGATGGATTTCAGTCCTAGACACCTGGGTTGATATAACTAATTGTGTTTCGGTAATGCAAGTATTGAAGTTTGGCAGTACTTTGTATGGTGGGCGACTCACTGCCCCGACCCTTTGGCTATTCATATCTGAAACTGGCTCGCTTCGTGTCCATATTCATTCATTTCTGCTCACACGACACCCTTCCCAAATGTCCAACTAATGTAAACGCCTGAATGCGGACCGATGAATAGAAACAATATATCTCTGCACCAGCAGGGTATGCTATCTGTTTAACTGTCCGATTTCACTCAAGGAAGTTCTTTGGACGAGTTGAATTTCACTGGACGAGTCGACAGAGGAGTGCACGGGCGAGTTCGCGGGGACAAGTTCACGCACGAGCTGACGGCTGTACTGCCAGTGTATGCTTAGCTTGAACAGAGCCTCGTATTCAGTAGCAGACAAAAACCCTTAGTACTGCATCCCTACCGCTTGCTAATCGAAAATGCGTAGCTACAGCCTTTCCTTTATGTATGTAACTTGGAGTGTGTATCTGAATGAGGAAATTCTCTAGTGTCGAGAGGCATATCTATGCGTTGCCCCGAGTATTCCTAATACTACCGGCGTCACACCGAAGATGGAACGAGGTCTATTCTAGGTGCCTGGAACGCATTCGAGTTTTATTCAGGAGGCTGGACGACAAGCGTGGGTTCGCCGAGGAGCATAGCCATAGGAATGTCAGCGAGAGCCGAAGAGGATCTCCAGCCTGGAGTATAAATAGTCCATCTAGCAGGTGAGGTAGTCCTCATCCCACTCTCCCATCTCCGCTGTGACAGGTGCTGGACAGTGAGCGACCCTCCTTTGGCAATGCACTTTGAAGACTGATATTATTGAATAGCCGTCACTATAAACGAACGAACGAACTTTCATCGGGTGCTGGCCAGTGGGTCTTTTGCTTGTCCCCTCTACGGTGTTGATTATAAGGTGCTGCTAGCTCCAAAAACACTCAACGACCAACCTTCCAGCATTATCTCTTCAACATTTCGAATTCTACATCGCCCGTTACCATCTTACAAAAATGCGTTTCATGATGTCGCTTGCTTTTCTGTTGTTCGCCACTTCGAGTGCATTCGCCGCGCCGACCCCATTGCGGCCTGACGAGGCCGACGTCGCGCTGGTGGATCGGTCCCTCAGTGGGGGTGTGAAGTTGGTCGGTGCTGGTTTACTAGGGGTAGCGGCCGGCGCTGTGGACCTTGGCGTCAGCGCTGTCGAGGACGTTGGCCACGTAATCGGAAAAATTCTTTGAATTATGTGGAAGGATATGATACAAGTCATTGTTGATGGGCATTGTGGATGTTCGTTGTTGGAATGACATTCGTTGACATTTTGACACTGGCAACCCTCGCACATGTAGCTCGAACGAGGCGTAAGGACGTTGTCCTGCTATTGGATGTTCCTTATTTTGCCGGGCAAGACCGCATGCTAGGAACACCGTTTGAGCGTAGATCACTTAGGAAGGCTATGTCGAGAGTGGGCCTAACTCTGTCGAACCGCCGTCCGTCAATGCAGGGGACCAAGCAAAGATTCTTTCAATCCAACCAGTCAATGTTCACACGATATTTTAGCGCTACCCCCACGCCTTAGAACAGACCGTTCTCTTCTCTGTCTGCCGAACCATTCGCCGTTCTTGTATTAGAAAGCTGAGCGGACGACACCTGCGCCACGGTCGTCTCCTTGGACCGTACAGTACATTCCAACGTCGTGCACAAGCAGAACGGCATGTGCCTCTTCCCTCCAGCTCGGTCGAACTAGCTAACTCTAGAATAGACATGAAAAATGGCGTGGCATACATCCGCACCTCGCGCTTTTAGCGTATAGACGTGGATGGGATTGCGTTCACCCAAGGGCCAGGCATGAGCGGCCGTCTATCGGTGGGATGTACGTCCGCAAGGACGCTTGCTGCTGTGCATAGGAAACCGCTCATCGGGGTGAACCATATGGTGCGTGTTCAATCTAGCCGCAGGCGTGGAGGCTGAGATGCGTAG